TGCAATAAGCATCACAATATAATTAGTTGATGATATTTTATTAAGAACATCTTTCTTAATTCCCTAGGTCACTTTACTTCTATTCTCGCATCGTTACAAATAAAAGAAAAATGAAAAAAAAAATATTAGTTAGCGCTCAGTAAATATGTTCAGTAAAATTTTTATGCTACTTGCTTCTAATCAGAAAATAAATCGTGAAATTTAAAAGTATTTATACTTCAATTTGATTGTGATCACAATTTACCATATTTTTTGAGATGTCAAAAGATTTATTTGAGCCATCTGCACTATATAATAACAATTTTTCACAAACGGAATTTAAAGCAAAGAAGCAAATTAGTTTATGAAGAAACTATGCCACGGTAAATAGATGGCCAGTCAGGAACATTTCAGAATGAATAGAGCAACAATACAAGTAAGACATAATTGCGCAAACGTTAACATGCGTAATTTACTTAATAACTTCACAATCAGTTTTAATGTAGTCGTTTCGACATTTGAAGCAGCAGTACGTTCATCAAAATTAATCGCTCAGTAAACTTTACTTTTTTTACTGAGCGCTCAGTTCGCTGAACGCAACCATTGATTGTAGCTACAAATCCACACGTTTTCACTGTACTCTCTCTCTCTCTCTCGGAATTTCAATTCGCAATCAAAAGTATTGTTTTTGTGAGTGACTTTTTCTATTCCATTTTTCGTATTACCCTCGTGTATTTCATTTGCAATAAATATTTAACGTCAGTAGGGCTAGACAAAATTGTTTTGATTCATAATGGCCTTGGACCCGGGAGATAGAGACCAAATCTCTTTTTGCCATATTGGAGGGGGGGGACAACCCTAGTGAATCTTAATAATCATCGCGACTTACCCCAGTTTAAGAGAAAATATCTTATTCCGCAAGTTTTAAGCCAATTTCTTGCCTAAAATACTTCATAATTTAAATCAAAGCTGCTAAACCATTAAAAAATTTATCATCTTTCTCATATACAAAGCTCTTGAATTCATTCGCTTTCAATTTAATTTAAAAGAGATGGAGATCTTCTTATCATTTCGAAAAATAGTCAACAAACAACAAAATATCTGAAGGCTTCTAAGCTATTAAGTTTGTGCGACAAAACAGTATCCTTACAGTCAGCACTAAACATTGTAAAAGGTGTCATACAAATTGTTAACACATCCTTGTCCATACTATTTTTGGATTGTTATGATTCCCTAAAAAAGGTAAATTTTAGCGTATCTAAAAATTAAAATTGTATTCTATATCCCCTTTCCGATGCAGTGAAGAAACTGATTCATAATCGGTCATACACCCAATCACTGTAAATCTGATTCACCCTTTGCTCATCAGGAATACACGAACCATCTCCATGCATAAGAGTGGAAAGTATAAACTGCAAAAAAGATCACCGTACCGAAAATAGAAACTGCCTACATACCGAAAAAGAATAGACATATTAACATATTAGACCATAAATATTAAATGTTCCTTTAGAGCAGCAACAGAAACAATAAATTACTTACAAACAGAATATAATCCGCTATCTGAGAAAACAGAAGAAGCAATTACAAAAAGAAAATCTTAAACATCATCAACTACTAATAACAATAATGAGAAGAATATGTCTGTCACTCCTACTAATCTCTCTGATAGTGATTCTACAACACATACTGTTCTAGTACAATATCTTCTCCGAATAATAAACCACCAACTGATTTCTCTATAAATCACTCCTTTGCTAATAATATTTCGTTGTGATCTACCTTCCAAAATAAAACACATACTTTGTCAAAGACTTAATTTGTTAATACCCTACTAACGAATAACGCACTCAAAATGTACAAGAACTTACACTGAAAAGTCTGACAATCAACAATCAATGTATTTGTTAGAAATTCTTCTACTGAAATTCTCTTATTTCGATTGTTATCGTCCTTAATGTATCCATTCTCCTAAATGATGCTTGATGTTCTCAATGGAACCTAAGCCTTTAATTCACAATTCCCTAGAACATAAATAAGTTAACACCGCTACACACATTTTAGCTGTACCCATCAGAGTAAAATTGCATACCACCTTCGTTTTGATAAACCTTTATACCGCACCGAGAGAAACAATATCTGAACAAGACCTACACTAACTTGTTAGCAAATATAACTGGATTGTACCAGGTAACTTCAATGTTTGAAAACGACTTTAGAGATCCAATATCCTTAACAAAATTTTTAGGAGCGTTACAAAGTTAAAAGTTAAAAACAGCAAAATCATTAAGAATTTTGACTGATAAATCACATGCATATTTCATAACAAGTTCCTTATTTACCACATCGACCTTAGCATGTATTCCCCACCTCTCAACATCGCCTCTACTTGGTTTTTTTGTAAAAAGAACCACATCTTAGTTATCACTTGCCCATTACTATCCAACTTTTATGTTATCCTCACAGCCGAAATAATTTAATTAATACCTTAAATGCAAACTAAATTCTGCCGTTTGGTTTAAATATCAAAGAGAAAACATCCAGCATCTGTACCATTTAATTCTGCAACTTGAAAAAATTACCAAATCAGCGGGACTTCTCCAAAATAAAATACATCTTAGCCCAAAGGCATCTATGCCTGTTGTAAATTCTATAGTTAATAACTCTAAAATATTCCAGCCAAGAATTGGTCTGGTCTTTTCCGAGATTGTAAGTTTCCTACGTATTTTAGCCATACCATGCAAGCCCAGCTCTAATAAATTATGCACTTAGTAAACAAACAAACAATTTAATCTTCTTCACCTCCGTAATCCCCTAACAATGAAATACGTCAAACTGACGTCGTCAGTCATTGAGCCAGAAGATCGCATATCAAATCGTATGAGTAGAAATATCTTAAATGGGACTATGAATTTGCATGCCAGATCAAAAATTAAGTACAAGAAACTACTTTGGTTATTGGTATAAAGCAATAAAATAAATATTTTCGCTGAAAGCTAATTTGTTTTTCACAATGTGCAATTGAAAAAAGGGCAGCATTTTCCTAAATATGCTTTTATCAGGAACTATTCAATGAAGAAGTATCAAAATTTGAGGGAATGCTAATAAATGAATCCACTATATGATGTTCTATTATCTTTTAATCTATTTAATATCATTGCTAACTTATTTATTTTTTTTTTTTTTGAGAACGGCTTTTGTTTTTATAATACATAACTTATTACAACTTATTTTTTCAAGTTTTATTTATTCATTTCCAATAGAAATTGCCTGAAAAATAAAATTAAAACGAATTTGCTTCAACTTGTTGACTTGTGAGTTTAATTATTCTTTATTCACTTTTCAATGTAGTGCAAGACTTAGAAAAAATTATATCTGACATACTAACTACAAGAAACTTTTCCTATCTTCAGTCTTTGCACTATTTTTCAAAGAAACAACTTCTCGCTGCAAGTTTTAGATATGGAATTCTCGGGAGTAGGCGAGTGGTTAGCATTGCGTACTGCCATTCGGAAGGCCCGGGTTTAAATCTAGGTGTTGTGCTAACATCCCAAAACTTATAGAAAATTTATTTAAATAAAATGTCAACGCCCGACGTAAATCGGCCTCAAAATCAGTCAGTAAATAGAAATCGAATTGAATTAATTTAGTGTTTAATTATGAGTTTGTTTATACCAACAAATTATTAGAGCTTTAGCATGTATATACATACATATGTATATGTGTTGGAAATAATATTCTTTACTAACACTTTGTAAATTAGGGCGATCGCTGTCAGCTCGGGGTAACTTCTCGGACATGCCAATCGGGATTGGACTAAGCGAACTGTAATATTGCAGGCCCCTCTATACTGTTGGAAAAACATCAAGCTGGAAGTATACTTGAAGTATAGTATTCTCTCAGGAATTTCTAAACATCTGTCGAACTTATCCTGATAGGAAAATATTATACACAGACGCTTCTTTCTGCCAGTCAAATAGCTAAATCGAGCTAAATAAAATATATACTCATCTACGCCTTAAGACCAGGTTTCTCCAAAAAAGCATATGAGTGAGTGACACGATAACTGTAAAACGAATTATCTGAAAGCAAAAATCAAAACGGGTTTATATTCTTTACCACCTGGGCTATGGCAGGAAGTACAATGGAACTAAAAATAAACAAATAACAGCCTTTTTTTACTCATAAATTTAATACGAGGCACTGAGAAGAATCCTGTTCTAAGTTCTAAGCTCTAGGTATACTTTTTAGAAAAATATCAGCATGAAATTCGCTGTCCCAAATGTGACGTTTTTAAAATATTAATGGATCGCCCGATGGAGGGACCTATGGTCAAACCTACTTCGATTGATTATTCTGAAAAATCTATATATTTTATGTCATTATTACACTCTGTAGGGTTGATATTTCTTCCCAACAGGTGACCCCGAATTAAATTTAAATAAAATAATTTGTTTTATATTTTATATTAGTATTTTATTTTATTTTCAATAACACCACTGCTACTAGGAACTACGTTGCTCTTTTTGCTCTTCAATTTTGTAAAAAAAAATAGCTGAAATAAAAACTAATTTTAAATATATCGATGTCGATGTATATTCAAAACGAAAGAAGTATTGAATCGGAATGATCCAAACGGAAACATTCTTTTTAAACCCAAACATTGTGTTGCTTAATAATAATTGCATCTTTAATTGTGGAGGTAATTACGGATTTTTTAATTTTTATTGTTCGGAAATATCTGAATGTTATTTATATTCAAGATTAAATATAATTTATACTATTTAAGCTCTATTACATCTATATTAAATTAACGTAAGCTAAGGCCAAGAGGGAGCTTATATACAAAATTTCTGTATATAAATTTGTGTTATAAATTATTTAAATTTTAGTGATATCGTGTCTATATATTGGTATTTTAATATTTTTTTTTTTTTCAAGTCTTACTGAAATTGGTTTTGCTAGCTTTTTCGTGTGTTCAATTACTTATACAATTCCCTTACAATGTTTTATATACTTACTTGCAAATCTTGGATCATTTGTTGTAGATCCATACCATGAAGCTGAACTCCTCATATCTGAATAGTGTCCCGCCAGTGAAAGATTGTCGGTTGGTCCGCAATAACTTTGAACTCCAGGGCTGTGGTAAAGCGATCCCATCGCGTATGGATTTGTCATGGTTGCAGATCCTAATGTGTTAGGTGAATTTATACTACTTCCACTGGAATTCGTTCTAAAACATAATATTTACTTTTATAAAAAAAACAAAAATGAAGATATCAAGATACATATATTTTATAATTTAATCTATTAACGAATATTTTTATGTTAACTTAGGCGTAGACGTTAATTATTTCTTTCTACATTTTTGGAACTCCTCAGTCTCGTATAACGGTGCTGTTCGTTGCATTAAAAATATGATAATTTGATATGATTTTGCTCCACTTTGTGTGCTTACTTGTTTTAACCAATTAGCTGATTTCTCTCTACCTCATCAGCAAGGTTGTTCTTAGGTTTACCAACGATACTATCGTAGATGAAGTCTGACATGGCATGAGAGAAAATGCTAAAGCTCAACACTAATAGCCTAGATATAATATAATTTCAACTTTTATATGAGCAGATTATACCCCCATTTAAGTAAATATTCTTCTTAATTTAATTTTTGGCCGAATATCACATTTGTACGAAAGTTTCAGTTCCTGCGGCATATTCTTTGCAACATGGCTAAAATTGCGGCGCCTACGACTAAACCCATGGAAACTTAGGGTTAGATTAAGATAAGCTGCCTAACCTTAAAAATATTGCGCATTGGCTTATTGGTCATGTTTGCCCGATGTCACGTTGATGGCCTTCTCCAGCGTTCCTGGCCTTCTCGTGACGAAAGTACTTAAGTAATAGAAGTGCAGCCTGGGGTCATGTCTAAAAAAATTGCCACTGGAGCATATCCAACACATCTGGGGGATGCCCTTTGGGAAGGATTGTAAACTCCTCCAAGTGTACTTCTTGAAAGGAATAAAAGGTCCCCATAAAAAATCAATAACCGTTCGAACGCGGCTTAGTAAAAGCCTTAGGTTTCTCCATTTGTTGGAAAAACAAAAAGGCGCACACCACAAAATCCTGGGGGAACTCATCCGGAAACCTCTCCAGCGGTTCCGATAGGCGAATAATATATTAAAAAACATACCTGGAATGTCATGTCCCTTAATTAGAAAGGTGCAGCTATACTGCTGGTTAATATTCTCGTAAGACTAAAGGTTGTCAGCACTATCGTCCAAGAAGTGCGATGGATGGGACATGGACGGGAAGCCGTAGGTCCCTGTGATATTTGATATAGCGGCCTTAGTACAAATTTGATCATGTATTCTTTGTGGAACAGAGCCTCCGCCAGTGGATAAAGATCAATGCACTTGAAAAAGAATTTATTCAATGGATGACTCTCATGAGAGTTGTCCCGCCAAAGAGTCGGGAAATTCATAGAGAAAAATTGCCAAATGAGTATATACTGATCGACTTCGAAAAACTAACAACCATATCTATAATGCTTTGTTAAACTACTACATATTTCTAGTTTCTTAACGGTCGTACACTCTGGGTACTCAACATCGATTTGCGACAGCAAGTATACGCACATGCCTCCGTGTACCGCCATCAACATAACTAATGAATGTTCGACGCCGAAAATTGTCGTCACAAAAGAAGGTCAAACGATTTTCAAATTGACTTGCACCACTTCTCTTTGAGAGCACTCATCAGCAACTCGGTATAAGGAAACTCTGGGTCAGCTCGCATGCAGCTGCAATCGAAAGATACGGATAACAGATGGTATCATGAGTATTGCAGTTCCGTATGGGACCGCATATAACTCCGTAAGTAATCGAGCCTCAACAAGCAAACTGAACGGGCCTAAGAGTAATGGGCCTACAAAACAAAAACAACTACAACAACAACGTCTCGAGTCAGTAGCTTACACACATCCAAGACATAGTGAGTTAGCTGTCACAACCCTGCTGGGGAAAATACTAGTTGTCCACTTTTACACCAACTAGTTCATCATTATCAACAACTCGTTTTTTTAACACGGCGGTGTCCTAAGAGCTGACCATTGCCCTACTATGCATCAGCTTCATAATAGTTTAATATTTGTTCATTTAGGTATGTGGAATTTTCGCTTCACCAAAAAAAAAAACTGAATCATATAAAGTTCAGGTTGCCGGCTGCGAGAATCGAACCGAGATCCTCGTGCACCGCAGTGGAAACCTCTAACCATCAAACCAAGGCAAATTTACCAAAGGTTGTAGCAAGAATAAAAAACAAAAATTCCATGTATTTTGTTTGTGTAATCATTGTTTCGAAAAGTCAAAAACTAAAAGCGTTCAATATATTTTGTTTGTGTAAGCGAACGTTCGAAATATCAAAATATATTTCTCATATATCTCCTTTGTGTAATTTGCTGAAATGGAAGGAAGAACAAGCAAGCATATGATGTGACAACTTCAACTTCTATAAATTCCCCTTGCACCTGACTATCGTTATGATGTGTGGAGCAAAGAAATCTACACACTTCAACAGAACTTTTAAGGAAATGAAACTTAATCGTGTCTTATTAAAAATAAAAACAACATACGAATGACGTTGAAATAAAAATTTATGTTTCACCAAAAATCAAAAAATAATTAAAATTATAAAAATTCTGTTTCACCAAATAAAAAAAAAATAAAACTTTAAACTTAATTTACCGCCTTAACGCATTAAAGAGATAACCTCTAACCACTCAGCTATCATGACGATCGATGTCATTTTGCGCGCTTCAATAGAATAGGGAACATAATGGAATTCAGACGCGGTCTGCCAAAATAACAACAACAAACAGTGGTGGAAATTGTTATTTCTCCCGTTATTGGCGGATTTCTTTACAAATAACGAACTGGTATGATTTCATCTTCGGCATATTGGTATTTAGCTAGAATTTTTGAATACTATTGTAGTTGGTTTCCCCTACAGGGAACCTATTTAAGAGAGCGCAATGTAAGCTAAAATCTATTACTACAAACGAATCAGATGATTTCTGCCTATTTTAAAAGGTTGCCAGTTGAGCATTTTATACATAAATAAATTTAAAATGAACCACATAAATGCAATTATGTATTATATATATAAAAAAATATGGTTCACTTACACACATTTCATTGGCGTTTATATTTCAACATATAAACTATGAAGTTCGTCGACGAAATTTAAAGATTTGTTTAAAAGTATTCAAAACGGTAGATGCCTTCTATTCTAACATAACATAAAACATATTACAAAGGTGGAGAAATCAGAAATTAATTTTATTGGCAGTGGGCTTTAGTCATTCACACAAAACGCTCAATCTGACATAACATGCGACATTAACGAAGCTTATCTCACGGTAATTGGCGGAAACTATGGGTTCGCCCTTTTCGTGGATTGGGCAGACCGCACTTAGGTTCCAATAGTCGGGCTTGCTTTCATCCGACCATAACTTGCAAAGAAAGCATGCACCTTAACTGTTCTTCACCGCCATATTTGAATAGCTCGACCAGTATTCTATCGGCTTCGGATGTTTCGTCGTGGAAGCAAAATTTTACGACAGTTTTACCAAATATACCTTCTTTCCCCATCCTGGCATTAAAATCGTGGCGGTGGCAAAGCAAAAAGTACATTCCGGGAGCCCATAAAACGCATCTTTGGACCCATCGCCTTTCTCTTCCGTGGAGGCGAAAATCAGAGAAATGTTAAAAAATTTCGCGTTATTGCGGATTGTAAGGAGACGTTCATCCACTGGGGTGATAGCCAGTACTTGGTGACGGAATCTCTCTCCCACGACAAATCCAACATCAAATATGTGCTCCTTCATATGACCGCTGTTGTAAATATCACTCGCTTTCGTCCTTGTCTCGTCCATCGCACTTCTTGGTCAGGCGTGACGTCAGCCTCTAAACCTGCGAGGACATCAACCAGCTGGCCAGTGGCAATTTCACAATTAAAGGACCGCAGATTCCAGGTTCATGCCCTCAAATCGTGATCCTCAAAATATTTGCGGTGGTCGTCATCATAAAAGGGTATCTGATCTTCAATAATTTTTATTGGGGCTAGTTTTTACGTGGCCGGTTCTGGCTCAGCGCACAACCTCGCTAGACGAGAAAGTTTAAAGTTTGTGCACATTTATATAGCGAGCCGCTTGCTCCAAGACCGACGCCTGCTCGCAGCCGCGCTTAAAATTCCAAAACTATATAATTATTGTTTAAACACCGGATAACAAAACACAACTAGAAGCAAGCAGTTTTAATGGTTTTCAACATAGATCCCGGATGGGTAGAAGAAACTACTTCGCGATCTCAGATGAACAACCAAAAACAAAACGTAAAGCTTATAACTTAAACGACATTTTTTAATTTCTTACAATAAAATATACCAAATATACAAACACTCTTCAAAACACATCATGCCCAAAATGTCTATCAATAAAAAGCAAAACAGAAAAAACTCTTAAATCTTATAATATTTTCTCATCCTCGAAATTTTATTCACTAGGAACGGTTACTGACTTATCATAATAAAATTTCAAAAACAAGTGAAAAAATATCTAAAAGCAACACAATTATCAAATGTATATAATATATCTATCTACCATCTATATTCCATCGGTTACACAGCTAGACAATGTACAACTGAAGGCAAATATAATGTATGCTCATTACCAAAACACGACTCTGCAGCCTGTTCAAAAGTGCAATATATCAATTGCAAACAAAATCATCGGTTTGACAAAAAAAAATACCCATGTTCAAGAAAAGACAAGACTTATTGAAATATAAAACAGTAAATAAATGTTTTTTTAGGGAAGCTACAGTCAAGAAACTGAGTACAACAAAAAAGTATCCGAAGAAACTATTGAAGAATCAACACAAAAAACAATTAAAACACCACAAAACTATACAAGCGACAGCAATAAAGAGCTTGAACAAAATCTAACAACTAAAACCTCTTCTTCACACACAAACAACTAAGTACCGAACAAAACAGAAAACATGCACCTAATACCAAGCAATACTACATTAACACCAACCGAATTACACCTTCAATCAAATTTAATGCAACGAACAACACAACAAACAGCACAACAAAGAACAAAACTGAAATGCATTTAAATTAAACAAAGTCTATACCAAAAAACTTTTCTATTTATGGAAAGAACAACGGAAGGAG